ACGGACGGACAGAGTGAAACTAATAAGCACTTTTTTTCAAAAATTTTTTGGAAAAGTGCTAAAAATAGAAGTAATTACAACTAATCATTGAATAATTGAATCGTTTTCTTGTGATGAATGAATACGCCTGTAGTCATTCTCTAGCACTGATAGTATTTAATAAGAATGCAATATTTTTCAAATAAAATGTTGGTGCTTTCATTTAATAAACGAGAGTAAGAGTACTAAATAGAATCCTGCATATTTATGTTTAAGTAAATTGTGATTATATTTTTTGAATTCTTCTCCCTGTAATTATGCTTGAGAACATTCAATTAATTTAAATTAGGGAAAATATTTATTCTGCACTTATTTTGTTTTGAGTATTTCTTATAGAAGAACGTAATAGTTTCTAGAACGACAAAGTGTGTACATAATTAAAGAATAAAACAAAACAGCTCATCAATTGTTATACTGTTATTGATAAAAAAAGGGCTAAATTTAGTGTGTTAAATCAAGTTTAAATTATTAAGGCTTTCCTAAAAAATTATGCTTAAATAAAAAGTTCAAGTGTTTTTTTTTTATAATTTCTGTTAACTGGCTTTACAATGAAATTTTTACGGCAATCAAGAAAAATCTTTTCTCAGCAATGAAGTTTTTAAGTATCATGAATTATAGATCAAAAATATCAAAAAGATAGACAAAAGAATATCATGTGGTCGTAGTCATAATATTAATTATAACCGTCCTTGTTCATAATCCTTTTTTTCAAAGATTAATAATAATAATTCGTTGTTAAATTAAGCTTCGATTTACGAATATTTCTGCACAGACAAAATTGTCGAATCAAAGGTAGATCAAACAATGAATTTTTTCAATCTAAAAACGAACACACACAAGCAAAAGCATATACTGATTATTTCAAATTATTTTACTTCTATGTAAAAAATACGTGCATATTTTACTTATCATAACAATCAATATTTTATATTGCAAAAACAGCATCCACCAAATTTTTGTTCAATAAATAAATAAAGTTGGGTCAAACCAATGGTTTGTATTGTAGCACTTTTCCCTTCAACAGAAGAAAATGCTGTTTTTAAAAACAATCTACGTATACCCACTACACTATCATGATTATTTTCATTCATATACGAAACTGTTTCTAGGATTGCATATATTTAGGATTAACGATTTATGCAGTCTGAAATAAAGCAAAAATTAATCTAAAGAGGTAAAATCGATGTAAGAAAAATTATTATATTTTTTAATGTTATGGAATTTACCGTTAGCTTTTTGCGTTAATAGAAATTAAGAAAAACTTGTGGTTCCAGAAATATAAGGCGTCAAACTTCAAATTTTACAAATTTCATGAGGCGATAACTCGAGAAGGGTCGGAGATAGAAAAAAAAATTTTCTTCTATCGAAATGAACTATTTATTAGTGCCTAATAGGTACTAAACTTTCAGGCGCCCACAACCTGGAGTTTAGAAGAAAAGCAAGATAAAAAATAAACAGATTTTATATAACGGTAAATTTTAACCGCCACTTTGTTTTTTTAAAGTTCAAGTACAGTATTCCGGGATAGAAGAAGCAACCCACTGCTTTTCTGCGTTTGCAAAATTTGCAAAATGCATATGATGGTATTTTTAGGGTTTTGGTGGAGTACAACTTTTAGAGGGGGAGAGATAGGTAAAAACTATGTTCTACGAAAATTAGTTTCTAGTAAAGATCTATGTAAATATAAAATTTCAACTTTCTATCTTCAAGGGTGTAGAAGTTTTGGAAACAGACACACGGACAGACGAACGAATGGACAGACGGACGGACGGACGGACGCCGACAAAGTGAAAATAATAAGAACTGTTTTTCAAAATTTTTTTTGGAAATGTGCTAAAAAATACTAAAGAAAAAGCCAAAAATCAACAAACGCCAAAGAAAAATTATGCATTTTGATTTTTTTTTATTATAAAATTTTTGAACTCAAATAATTTCAAATAATTGAAAGAACAATGATTTGAACAAAATCAAGCAAATCAATGCCAGAAAAATGTTTAATTAAAAGCCATAGAATTTAGGGAGGTTATAAAATTTTTTATTTTTATCGAACGTTATGGAGAAAAAATTCTTTTTAAAATAATAATGGCCGAAATAAAACTTATATACCTACTCTAAACATTTTCAAATGAAAAGATTTTCCATTATAATGCAAATGAACTGAATAGGAAGAGTACTATTTGTTACGTCAGTCATAATGAGATGAAAAATGTAAATGTTTTGCTTTTTGGTTTGCAGTATTTTGGAATTTTTCCTTAGCTATAATTGGAAAATGTAATTTCTTTTACTCAAATCGAAATCTTCCTGAATATTTTCAAGTTAATCAAAATGTAATCTTTTTTTTTTCAATTTTAAGAAAATTTAGAAAAATTTGAAATAGTTGCAAAGTCTTGCATGGTTTCTATTGTACAAATATAAATTTCAGCACATCAATTAAATCATAACTTGTCTAAGCCCCCGTAATTTTAAATATACATCAAATGTGACTGTAATTATAGCAGATGATGACTACATAAAGCTTCGTATATCTTCCGAATTTGTAGAATTAATTTTTTTTACTATTATTGGATATAAAGAAATAGTGGATTATAATAAAAACAATGTAATTTCCAAATTTTTTATATTTTAAATCAAAAGTGTTTGTGCAATTTTCATACAGGAATGTCTACTAACCAAATCAATCAAAATATTAATAACGTCAATAAAATTTTCTTCAGAATAACCACTAATATGTAAAAAATTTAAGTTTTAAATATGACAATATGAGGGGGTGCCACTATACGTGCAAGACAATTCAATGACATTTTGTTTTTTTTTCATTTTGGTAATAAAAAAGTCGGATGCATTAATAGCATGTATTTGAAATGTTGGCTACCCAAGCATTATTGTATGTTTTCCTTTTGTTTTGTTTTTTGCCTTTTAAAAAAACTTTTGAAAATTTTTATTAAAAATTCCTTGAATTTATTTTATCTCAGCTCTCTTTTTCTATAATCTTATTTAGTAAAAAAATAAAATAAATAAAAATGACTAAAATAAAAAAAAAAACTTCTAGTTTCACTCCAATTGCTTTGTTTTATTGTAAAGAAGCAAAGTAAAATTTTTTGTCTCAACACAATACAACGTTCATTTCAGGGATGTATACTTTAAGGGATTGGTCAATTTTCGAAAAAAAAAATTCGCTATCAAGCACTAAAAATTCACTAAGCACAATTTTTAGATTATTAGAATTCACTCATATATGCATCGTATTAGTGTAAATCATTAAGTATCGCTCAATGTTAAATTAAACTAAATTTAACTTCACATAATTCAAGTATAGTGATTCAGTTTAATTAATTTGTGATAAAATTAAAAAATATTGAACTGGATTTGCAAAGTATTCGCTTTCTTATTCTAAAGTGTTCTACAGAAATATTTATAAAAAAATGCAATAAAATTAGATCTTTAATCAATTTTTCATTTCAATTTCTGGATTTGACAAAAACTCTAAAAGTTCAACATTGATTGTTTAATATAATTTCCATTTTTACAACTAATGATTGAAGCACTGAACTCGGAATAATTATAATAACATTAAAAATTTAAAACTATTGCTTCATCACTGAAATTTACATGAAAAAGGTAATATTCAAATCATATAGAACACAAAAATGTTTATAATAAAATGAAAATCTGCATGTGATTTCTGTAAAATTGCATAACATTCATATTAAAATTGTAAAGTAAGTCAGTGACGTGGCTGTAAAATATAAATATATATATATATATAAACAAACCAACAAAAAAAAAAATATATAGGAATAAAGGAAGAAAAAAAAAATGTTATAAGAAATGCAAAATCTTGCAATTTCAGAATTTTAATAAGAAAATTCCTTTCAAACATCAGACGCAATACAATGGTAGCAGTTTCAGACGCATTATGAGAAATATGTATATAAGTGAATAAAAAACAAAAAAACAATATTTTTCAGTTATTTATAAATAATACAGTGAAGAAAAAGGAATTTTTTTCATTTTTTTTTTTTTTGGAGAAAAGACAAGCGAAAATTTTTTCACTTTGAAAATTTTATTTCAACTTTTTTATTCTACCATGGAAATATGCAGAATTCTTCATATTATTAATAATTCCGTTTTTATTATTTGTATATTGTAGCTGTAATGATAACAAGGATAACAAAGGATGTTTACAAAGTCAAAAAAAAAAACAAAAAGAAGTAAAATAATTTTTTTTTAAAATTTGCTTAAATAAAGTAATTCTTAATAAAAATAATTTTTTAAGTTTAACATCTTTAATATAATTCCGCTAAATTTTCTACTAGATAGATATAGCTTAAAACGCTTACCTATGGAAGCTTCAAAAGAATCCACAATAGAATTTTAAAAGTATTGCTGTTATGAAACATCAACAAAAGTTTTTGATTTTATTTAACAAAAAATTATGTATCGAAAGCTAAGTTAACTTCAAACGACTTTATGGCAATACCAACCCTGTAATATCTTTGCGAATATATAATTTTAAGAAAAAGTTATATAAGAAGTGCTGTATTAGTTAATACAACCTTTCGTTTCGTTAATGATTAGTTTCAGCGCTGTAGGTTTTGTTAAAATGATTAAATAATGCTTTTTACATTATAAAGTTGTTACCCTAACTGTTTCTCTAATCACACCTAATTTGAACAAGGGTCTAGTATATATTATAGGGAAACTATTCGTAAAATTTTAATAAAATAGTTCAAATATTGCTGAACTTAATTCAATTTGGTTTTGAGTTATCGTTTGTATAGCTTACACATACTTAAAAGCATATTTTCAATATTAAAGTTCTGGAGTAATTAATAATAAATGATGTGATCAGAAATAATTACTGGCTATGAACAAACAAAAACTTTAATAATGCAAAGTTTAAATAAATTCATTAAATTATTTATATAAAATTTTTAACTCAAAAAACTTAACCTACTTACGTGCAAAATTTTTCCAAAATAAAAAATTCAACGAACCTGAAAAAAAAGAAAGAATTTTTAATAAAGCTTATCGAATTAATAAGTAGTACAATTAAATATTCAATAAATTACGAAAGGTACTTATTATAAAATAGTTTTTAACAAAAATGGGCTTAAATTTTGTAGCAACTTGCAATAAACATAAAATAATATAAATTTTATATAACCATTATAAAAAGAACAGGAAGAGGTGCTTTCTTCCTGGGTTAAAATAAGAATTGGCATTGTAATAAAAATAAAAGTAAAATATTATGCTTGTGTCAAAAATTTCAAATTGCCTTTGCATTATCTCGAACTATTTTATTAAGTCCAAAACTTCTAAATTTTATATCCTTTAAGATAGAAAACAGAAATTTTAAATTCTAGTGAGTCTTTGCGAGAAACCTACTTTCTGTCTCTGTCAAAACACTGTCAAAACGGAAAATTTATAACTTCTGCAAACGCTATAAAATAAGACTTGTTACTGCTACCTAGAATGGGCAAGTACACATAAACAAGAGAAAATTGCGATTAAAAGTGATTAAAATTTTCAAGTAGTCTTTTCCCAACTTCCGGTATGATTGAATGTATCAATAATTTTAACTTTCGATTGTGTGCTCAGATGGTAAGTTGCAGAAACCTAACAATTTAACTGTTTATAGAAGTAGAGAAATGGTTTATATTTTGTAAATTCTAGTCGTTATTGTTCTGAAATTGTAAGGTTTTAAATAAAAGGAAAACGTTTTCTACAAAAGTAAAATTTCTGTAAAAGCAAAGCCTAATAGTAAAAGTCTTGCTGCCATGAACTAAGATAATTAATTATTTACAATCACTTGAACCGTCGAATTTAAACCAATTTGTTAATGTTTTATGGTAATGTAGTGTTCTAATATAATTTACTTGTACAAATACACAGATAAAACCAGGTGTGCAATGTACATCAAGAAGTGTTACAGTGAAAGCATATTTGCCTTTCTTTTCCTGCATATATAAAATTACAGCAAATTATAAAATTACTGCGCGCATATAAAATTTTGCCTGCAAGTAGTTTTAACTGCTTTTCCATATCTATCGTATAAAGTAAACTTATTTTGCGCTAACAATAATATTTAAAGCTGAAGTTTGTTTTCCTTAAAAATAATTTTATTGAGCGAGATGTACTGCTTTGCAAACCATTGATTTGGCCCGAATCTTACTGCTTCTTTTTTTATACTTCTTCTCTATCCAATTTTTATAAAATTTTATTTTGAATAAAATGAATTGAAATTAAGTAAGCATATAAAATAGAAAAAGAGCTGCATATATCTGACAATGTCAGTATAAAAATCTACATAAAAAATATTTTTTGAAATGACCAACTATCTTAAGGATGAAAGTATTTTCAACAAAGAAAAATTTGGAAAAAAAAAACAATTTAGCAAAACACAAACTAAAAGTGTGTAAAGGGCAGAATAAAAATTGTTTTACAAAGTTTCACAAATTTTCATTTTAAAAATATTTTTGCAATAACTTACACAAATATTTTCACTTGCGTCTTCAACTACTGTTTAAGATTACCATATACTTAAATTTGATACAAGATAAAGAAACCCCTAGAGATCTTCTAGGAAAGTGTGATGGCCTGGCACGCAGGAGGAAGAAAATTTTAAAGTCAAAAAAACATCCAGATTAAAGTACAAATAATGCACTCTAAAACAGTTGGTTCTTGAATTTTCTATAAGGGAAAAATTTTACGTTATCTCAAAGACTATAAAGTATGCATTCAGAAGAGAAAAGCCAACTTAGGCACATACTCCCTAAAGAATATTGTGACACTAACTTAAAAACATAATATGAAGTAAACATTCTTATTTAAATTTAATTTCTCAATAAATTTTATTCTAACTTTCGGAAAATTATTAAATTTTATTTTAGCCATAAGAACCAAATTCTGTTAATTATAAAATATTAGACAAAAATTATAAAATTTTAGACAAAATCCGATTTGAATAAAATCGAAAAATATTCTACTTATTGCAAAAGTAAGGAAATCAATTAAAAATATTTGTTAGAACTTCATTTACATTTCAAATATAACTATACTCTATGGCTTTAATTATAATTCATACCGGTAAAACAATTTGGTATTTCACGTATATAAGTATGTATACAAACATTCATTTATTTTGGCAAATGAATGCAATTTAGTTTATTTTTTATACCAAAAATGAAAAAGCTAATAAAAAAAATTAAATATAGAAAAAAAGTATTTTTGTTTTATTAAATAAAAGTTTTTCTATATACAAGAACAAAATATACAGAAAAATTGCATAAATATAAAAAAATATTCTAAATAATAAGAAATGTGGTTACAAAATGGTTTATTTTTTATTATTTTTATTCCAGAAAATATAATAAAACAACATGATATTTTGGATTTCATTTTATTTATAACATATCTACATAGTTTTGTGTGATCATTTTATATCTTAGTACCTCACTAAAAGCATATTATTGAGGCCACAAGTAATAAATATAATATATATAATGTGTACATCTGAACATATGAATGCTCTATAACATAAAAGGACATTATATATGTATATATGTATGCGAATTGTGTTAACTATAACTGTATCTTCAATATTTCATCTTACCCATTTCTTAATTTCATTTGCAAATTCTCTATGGTAGGGCACTTATTTGAAATAAAATCAACTTATTCATTTTGAATTATGAAAAAAAGGAAGTTATAATAAAACAGAGAATCGTACCTATAATTTCCTTTTTATTAATATTTTTATGAAGTTACATTTCTATTTATTATAGCCCAGCAGGGCCATATTGCCTTTCAAAAAATTGATGAATTTTAGAAATTGCTAAAAAAATTTAATTCGCCTATAAAAATATAATGGGTACGAAAATATAATCTATAAGCATTGTACGGTTCTACCATTTGATATGCGTTGACCAGAATATAATCTATTCCGCAAAATACACCAACCCTGAGCTATTTATTTTAATTCGAAACGTAGGCTCTATGCAATATCCTATATAAAAAATGTAGCGGATCCGTGAGTTCCATAATTTTTGAATGCGGTTTTTAAATTCTATTCAAGAGTTTGCGTTTAAGATAAATCCACCGAATTTTATTAGATCTATACGACAGTCGTATAATAAAGTAATAAAGTTTAATAATTTTGAAAAAAAACTAAAATTAAAACAAACAGCCTCGTTATGGAATAATTTTATTACAAAATATGCAATTTTTAAAACATTTTCAAAGAAATGTTTAGTGATCAAATTTAGCAAATGAAAATTAAAATATTTTTTTTTAAACTTTTTGAAGTATAGACTATAGTAATAAATTCAGTCTAGAAATATTAGAAAAAATGTGTTTGTTCAACTTTGATATTACAATTTCGCCATTATTTCAACACCTCATTTTTTCATCTTCAAGAGTTTCTTGTCTATACCTTATTTTGCTCATCTTCCTTAAATATATCTTACTAAATTCATAAAAACTTTTTAAATCGATATCACAAATATATTTGTACCTGCACGAAAGTATGTTCGAAAAGTATAATAAATTTACCTTACCGTTTGTAACGATAAGAAATAATGGCCTAAAATATAGTGTCAAGTATATGCCTTTGATCACTGTCGAATTCTGTGTCGATTTATTCATGTCTGTCTGTCCGTAATTGAGCTAAGAGTTTCCAAAGTTTCACAAATGATTTATTGTAGTAAATTCCGGAACCATATTGATATTGGATATGATCTGGGTGCTGGTCCGGGTCCAGCGCATAGTTTTGAAAATTTATTGAACTTTCTTGACTGCTTGTCGAAGCTGCCACATGAATAAACTAGCAGTAGACATATAAAAAGCAAGAAGTTGTATGAAACTGTATATTAATAAATTATCTCCGACATTTAAAATTTATTCGAACGAATATCACAGAGTTGACACGGTCAACTGTACAACTGTATCCATTTTCGTTTTCTATAGTTTCCCTATATTACATTCTTGATAACATTGGTAGAAATTTTCTTTTCAAAATTTTCTAAAAATTTCGAAATTTATTTTCCCTAAAACTAAATACAAAAATGTTTAACACATAAATATTTCGAACAAATTTAATTATTTTTAGTAAAACATTACTTAAATTTTTACAAATAATTTAATTCTTAAAATAAAAGTTTAATTAAATTGATAAAATCACTTTCTTTTTTCTTTTTGTTTATAGTTTAAAGTACATTTAATTCCATGGCTGTATAATATTGGAGATCAACAATAAAAAGGCCTACAGCAAAATTTAATAACATTAATAAATTAAATTTAATCCACGCACTTCATATACTGAAGTATGCACATACAAAATATAAATTTATATAGAATATGTACATGCATACGTACATACAATTCTCAAATTTGTTTTTCCAGTTCTGCTATAAAAATTAAATTCAAAACAATATGTTTAAAGTTTGCCAACGCTTTTAATTTAATTAAAGTCACCCTTTATTTTGACAATAGGTTTTTTTTTTCAATATAATTATATAAGTTTGGTCCCAAGAGACCTTATGATATTTTTTAATATGACTTTTTTTTCTCATACCATCATGAAAATTGCGTTTCGCATCACTTAACCAACCATTCCCCTTTACAAATTTTCTTGAAATTCACTACAGTAAATTTTTTATTATTACAAAATATTTATATAGCTATATACAGTTTAAAAGTCCAATTTTCAAAATTTATTTTTATTTCAGTAACAAAGACAGAGCTCGTATCTTTTCAATTTTCAAACACAATTTAGTTTTTCCACTAATTTCACAAAATAACTCATTGCATTCGTCTATCTATACAAAACAAAAAAGAAAAGGGAATTGTTTCTTTCATTGCCAGTTAATATTATCCTTTATATGGTATTTTAAATTTAAGAAAAGAATGAAACGCAAGAATAGAACACATCAGTGCGCGATTAATAAAAAAACCAACAAAAAAATAAAAATAAAAAACAATTTCAGTCTTATTCCTTTCTTTTCTTTCTTATTCTTTATTGTCTATTTTTCTTGTAAATTTCCTCATCATCATTTTTATATGCTCACTGGGTTAATCCTTTATAAATTTCATCAAAATTGGAATGAGAAAAGTTTTAGCTTAAAGAAAAAAAAAATATGTATGTAAAGGGAAAATAAAAATATTCACAAAGAAGAAAATTTTCTTTTTATTCGTATGAGACAAAAGAAAAGTCATTTCTCTTTAACCTTCACTATACTAAATATAATGACAAATAAATATCCTAAAAGGTAAACGAACATACACACAATTGTGAATAAGCTTGTCTTGCTCAATACTTTTACAAAAGTTTTCATTCCATTTAAAAGCCATACGTAAGAAAAATGTGTATACCGTACATGTGTGCTTGTGAAAATTTTTAAGTAAAAAACCAAGGGAGTGAAAAAATTTTATAAGAAAATAATCTAAAGAAAGTTAAATTTATATGTGTTTTTATTATCCTTTTCGTTAAACAAAGAAAAAATATAAACAATTTCTTTGATAGGAGAAAAACAAAAAAGCAAATAAATTTCATGAGAATATTATGGGGGAGAAAAGAAAAGCACATTATATAGAAAGTAATAAAATATTAGTTAAAAGATCCCTGTGGGATTTTTTCAAAAGTTTGTACGAAATACCACGTAATTATTGACCAATTCGTTGAAAAGACGCTTTTATCACGCGATTTTGGGATAAATATAAAAGATTAAAGAAGGATAGGAAATATTTTTAATTCTTTATAATTCTCAATATTTTACCTATTTGTATGTACTTTTTAAGTATAAGAGTAAATATTTAAAAGACGTGTAATAATCCCCAATCTCTCAGAAGGGAGAATTACAAAATCACAAGATTGGAAAACTATTTGCGTTTTGAACCACAACAATTATGATAAAATATTAATAATAACAAGTATTAAAATCCTCTAAATTCTCTAATGCGCATATAT